CAGAAGCTTTGCTCAAGCTTTGCTCAAATGCTCAAAGACATTTGACTGTTGCTTTCATTTTTCAGCAATAGTTTGCATATAAAATTAATGGATCACACTTAGTTTTTCCCAAACTCTTACACATGGGCTTCTTCAGTCTTCCCTGGAGAAATCAGAAGCTGGCTTTTTTCTGCCCTTTTAAGTGATATGATTTTGTACCGGGCTGTCCAGTAACTTCAATAGGTTGTGTCTTAATATTGAAGAGTCTGATTCAATTCCCCCAGGGAAATGGTGTGCCCTTCTAATCCATAGATTTGACACTCTTTCTTTCAGAAAGGTTTTTACAAAATCTAGGTATTTTTTTTCTATCTCTACTCAGATCCCTTAAGTGACACCATTTATATATATGCTGTGTAGCCTTTGCTATGGTCTGCATTTTACTGTTGAACCCCCTCGAACTTTTCTTCATTTCCCTCAGGACCTTCACAGCCCTTTGCTCAGTACTATCTTCATCCTTGGGTTTCATTGTTTTATTTTTCTCTTCCCCTTTTCTTTGGAGTTTCACCACCTCCCTTTTCATTTCTGTGCAGATACATTTTGGCAGGGTGGGTACTTAGCTTGTCTTCCTTTTCCTAGTGTGTCCAAACTCCTGAAAGGTGGGGAGTTCTTCCTGGAAAACCAGTCGCAGGACAACTGAGGGGAAGTCTAGGCCACTGCTCAGGGTTTTGCGGGATGACGGCGGTCTGGCCTTCCCTGCTTCCAGCATAGACTCTGCGGGCCCCGGCCCTGCTGCAGGCTTGCACCGATGGCTGGGCCTGTCTACACTGCTGCGTATTCACCCTGGACACTTTGCGGTATCTGCTTCCTCCCCACGCCTGTCCCAAGCAAGGGGGAGATGGTTTTCTTCTCAATGCTCCATCAGGTTGGCCACGGGGGCCATGCTCTCCTTTCTCTTGGCCTTTGCTCACCCTAGGCTGCTGGACACTTGGCACCCTTTTCATATGTATTTGTTTGGGGTTGTAAGGTTTCCTCGGAGATGGAGTATTGCCCCTCTATGTGCCTTTACTTCACTGTTCTCAGGTAGCTTCAGAAAGAAGGGTCACCTTACAGACAGGTGTAAGTGTTGAAAGCAGATTTGTCAAGACCCCTGCTTTTTCCGAAGAAAGAAAAGGTATTGCACATTTTCCTGAGAACCGGCTATCCTTGGAGTCATCTTGAAGCATATTCCTCACAGAGCCGGAGAGCCCGAGTATGGATGGTGGGGTTGACGCTGCCCCTGGCCCGGTGTCAGCATCAGGGGCGTCTCTCGCATCTTCCTGTGATAACATCTGACCTTCCTGTGGAGAGGTCTCTGGATATGCAGGATGCATTTAGTCTCGCTTACGCGGAGGTTGATAACAGTTGAGAATTCTTTATGATGATGGTCAAGGCAGAGGGCTCCCGTTGGATTTAAAAATTTGTTCTCGGGGCGCCTGGGTGGCGCAGTCGGTTAAGCGTCCGACTTCAGCCAGGTCACGATCTCGCGGTCCGTGAGTTCGAGCCCCGCGTCAGGCTCTGGACTGATGGCTCAGAGCCTGGAGCCTGTTTCCGATTCTGTGTCTCCCTCTCTCTCTGCCCCTCCCCCGTTCATGCTCTGTCTCTCTCTGTCCCAAAAATAAATAAACGTTCAAAAAAAAAAAAATTAAAAAAAAAATTTGTTCTCAACCCTCTAAAAACTTGGAACTGTGTAGCTGCTGCTAACACACGAGCAAACATGGAGAGATGAGACGATTCTACTTTATGGCATATCTCGATTTTCCTCCAGTATCTGGAAGTTGAAAAGGGAGGGAAATGGGGGTCTGAATTCCTGATTTTGTTTAAAAGGAAAATAGGCCTGGAGCGCCAGGGTGGCTCAGTTGGTTAAGCATCCAGCTCTTGATTTCGGATCAGGTCACGATCTCACAGTTTGTGTGTCCGAGCCCTGCATCAGGCTCCACACTAACAGCACGGAGCCTGCTTGGGTTTCTCTCTCCCCCTCTCTTTCTTCCCCTCCCCTGCTTGCATGCTCACGCTCACTGCGCTCTCTTTCTCTCAAAATAAATAAATAAACATTAAAATATTTTTAAAAATGAAGTTCTAAAAATGACATGAGAATAGGTCTATGGGGCCTATTGTTTACATTAGTAGACAATTAGTAAACCTAATGTTTACTGAGTGTGTACAACCTGGCCTGGAGTCCTTTCTCCACTCCATTCTGATGATGCTTCGTGGCCAGACTGGACTTTTCTGGAAAACCTAGGCTCAGGTAAAGGCAGCATGAAGAGCAATGCCTAAAAGGCAGCATGGGAATTCTACCCCTCGCTCCACGGTCCCAGCCTGTGCAGCTAATGCCTCCCCCCAACTGTTAGAGATATTCCGATACCTTAAAAAGGGAGGCTGCCTTCATCTTGCACTGACTTCACTGTTGCCCTGTGCCAGTTTGGCCCTGGTAACAAGTGGGCATCTCACCTAGACAGCATCTGTGAGCGGGACCGATTTCAGAGCGGACTGCAGCCTCGCGGACCCCAGGGTTTGATCAACATTTCAATCAGCATTTCCACTGTTGGGGCTTTGGTCACTATGGCGACCAACCAATTTATCCTCTAAACCAGGACCTGAGAGTTGCGATTAATAATTAAGGCCATGAATGTAAATTGCGAATGTCCCAAACAAACCAGGATGAATGGCCAATCTAATTATGTCCTAAGTTTCCATGATAGAGCCAAATGCATTACGATGCATTAGAACATGGATCTCACTTTTTCTCCAGCTCTGCTGTAAAAACCCGACGTTATCTTTATTACCAAGACCAGATAACTCATTCATTCTTTGCAGCAAAACTAGTATCACTTAGGAATGAATCCTTTAAACCTCAGAGCCTTTCCGTTTTATAGGTGTGTGCATTCACTTGTACGTCACACACTAATATCTTGCCCGTGGTTTTCTGCCATCTTACAGGAAGCGGGGCTTGCGTTATTCCCATAGTTCATTACCCAAAGTTTGGCGGTAGGATGACTGTACCTTTCGATGGTAAATTGACTCCATCGGTAATAGCTAGGCTATAGCAGTAGCACCTGTGCTAATTGCTTTCTAGGTAGCGTCTCCCACTCCTCACATCAATGTCAGGAGGAAGACACTCTTAGCATCCCCTCTGCGCAACTTCCAGAGGCTAAGTAACACCTGCGTTTGCAGAGCCTGGCCAAATAAACCACCAGCCTGGCTCCAGTGCCCCAGTTCTCAGGCACGTTAGACGGTCTTTATGCCTAGTCAAGGAATTTGCTTTAGTTTGTTTCTTTTCACGTGAGCTGGTAGAGAAATGGCACTTTTAAATCTTTCCCTTGGTCCCGGGCCCATTGCCCGTCGTTTCAACTTGGCGTATTTTCCATACGGCTGTGATTCCACACACGCTTCTGGGGTTGCTACCTTCGCTTACAAAGATGGGCTACATGCTGTTGATACGTTTGCATTCAACTGAGCTCCGTGTGCTGAGGAAACGTCATTTTAATGGGATGGGTGCTGTGAGAAATTCAAGTCGAGGGTTTTTAAATCATCTGGAGTGGTCTTGGAAGGGTGGCATAGGACAGTAAGGTAGATCATCTGCTTATTAGGATGTCCCATCTCCCTTGGGTACTAGCAAAGGTTCCTGTAAGCTTTCGGTGCATTTGTGACTGCTTCTAGGCCACCAACACCAGAGAAGAAGGTGTCTCGGCACCTGTGTCCACCATGGGCCAAGGGGAGGGAACTGTCAACACCTAAAATGACTTCCCACCCCAGGTATCCCTCTGTCCCCCCTTTCCTCAGGGTAACCAGGGAAAGAGTCCCCTGAAAACCCTTGGTTTTACTGTTTGTTTCTCTGATTATTTCCCTTAAGCATTTTAAAATTTGTGGCCTGAGGGAAGGCTCATTATTATGTTATTAATAATTATGTTCTGGGAGCTTCCTAGGCATTATGTTAAAAAAATTTTTAATGTGTATTTTTGAGAGAGAGCACAAGCAGGGAAGGAACGGAGAGAGAAAGGGAGACACAGACTTTGAAGCAGGCTCCAGGCTTCAAGCTGTCAGCACAGAGCCCGACACAGGGCTCAAACTCATGCATTGGAAGATCATGACCTTGAACCAAAGTCAGACACTTAGCCAATTGAGCCACCCAGGTGCCCTGCATTTTTTTTTTTTTTAGTCTACATGACGATGCTCTGAGATAGGTTTCGAGTTGGCAAGTGGCCGACACAGTCCCAAAGCATCGGTCTCTGAATAAAACCCAATGTAATGCCCAAGTTCATGCTCGCTCTTCTATTGCTGGCTCCCTCGCTAGGCTCTGATCAATGTGACACCTTTCTGTTCTCTTCCTTGTAGAGTTACACTTGTCCCTCAAAACACTTGGTCTTAGATTTTCCTTCTCAGCATCCCTTCCCATGTGAGCTTGTGATTCTTTGAACTAAGGATTTTGGTAGAATTTCAGTGCATTTCGTTCAGCAATCTGGATCAACATTTGCTATTCGGACCCCATAGTGACAGACGAAAAGTTGGCGACTTCATCCAGAGTTGAAGGAGTTCTGTTACAAGATTCTGGGAAATTTAAATAAATGGCATTAAACGAGATTTTTCACCAATCTCTGATTTTAGGCCTTTACAGATCGAAAGGAAGCTTAAGGACACAGGAAAGCTTACATCCTGCGGGTAGCACTGGCCCAGAAACGCCAGTGTCAACGGCACCCCCGAGGCCTGTGACTGGTGTGCCATCCGAAGACCTCATTTGAGTGTGTGCAACTATGCGATGCTGTGGCTAAACCTTTGAAATGTCAGAGCAGATGTTGGCAAGGAGATTAACACAAATCAACAACTTGTACAGGGAGAGAAGGTGTTCAGAAAGTGTATTCTGGACGTGAGAACTGTGTGGCCTAGCACCTGCTTACATGCTCTGTTTCCCACTTCTGAAGTCAAGGTCGTGTCCCAGTTCATGGAGACGGGTGATCATATGATCATAATTCTGTGGTTTATTGCAGGGAACTCGGAAGCCAAACCCTCCTCAGAAGCCTCTGCCTGCAGATCCTTTGAGTAAGACCTCCCGGTTCACCAGCCCCTCCGCCAGGGCCCTGGGGCAGCCGGAGTCTGGGCTCTGCCTGGTGCCGCTCAGGTTGGTGTAACAGCCGGGCCTCTTTCTCCCCACAACCGTGTGGGGCACCCACACCCCCCGGTGCTTTCCGCCCCGTCAGGACCTGGGTCTGATGGCGTAGGCCGGGCTGTCTCTACCTCTGGTACCTGGGAACAGCATAAAACCGATGCAAAGGTAGATAGGAGCGTTACCCGGAGGCCGTCATGAGCTTCTACTCCCCAGGATCCCCATGTGGCTTCTAGCAAGGGCCCCAGTGTCCCTAAGAGATTAAACCAAGATCAAGTGGAACCGGATAGGGGCCAGGCAGTGTCCCCCAAAGGGATGCACATTAGTGGCTTCCAAGTGGCATGATCCCACGAAGGCTGAGCACGCCTCCAACGCAGTCTTCAACCCGCACAAACTCTGCCCGACCCCTGCGGTCCCGAGAAAGGAGGTGAGCTTGGAGGGGCCCAGGTGAATAAGGAGGGCGTGAGGCGTTAGCTCCCGAAGACGTGGTACCCAGGGGGAGCTTCTCCACACAGCTAACGAAACCCCAGCTGTGGCCGCCTCTCACCCTGTCCCAGAGGACGGGAAGGCAGCCTCCTGACCCAGGGGGGTTGAAGGGGCTGTGGGCCGGGGCAGACCCACACTGCTTTTTGAGAGCTAATCAATTTCCAGGAATTTTGCGAGCTGGGTGTTAAACCGAGCCCCTATTTTTAAATAGCTATGCATAACTTCTCATGATAGAAGTTAGATGAAAACAAATGTAATAAATGCTCACAATTTTTTTCTTACGTTTTACTGTGCTCTGGAGGTTATGTGCAGCTGTTTCTGGACAGTGGAAACGCCATGCAGGGTGGCGACCAGGCAGCTCCTCCGTGCTCGTGGGAAGAGACAAAGGCTACACATGGGCCGCCCCCCCCCCCCCCCCCGACCTCTTTCCCTGCAGTGGGTAGATCGAACCCACAGCCAAAACACTCCTTGGACATACACTGCCCCGCCTTGGCAGGAAGCTTGCTATATGAGCTCAAAAGAACCAAAGGTCGTGTGTTGGCCAGGCTCTGGGCTCAATAATTCAGTGTCTCGAAAGGGGAAGACGTTCGTGATGTCATTACCACTCTTGGGAAAAATGGTTGGCCTCAGAGAGCTGCCTAATAAATCCCCAAGATAACTCTGGTCAAAGGGGGTAGAACAGTGGTGTAATTCTCGAGGGCAGAAATACGGAAAGACTGCAGACCATCCTAGTTATTTGGCTGTGGTTTCGTGTGCTCATCTTGAAGTTACTTGCTCAAAAGGGAAAAGCACGGCTTTACGTGGACACGACGAGTGGAGGGCTCTCTTTGTAAAGGCCATCCGGCAGTGGCCCACCGTCACCTCTGCCAGTCGCTGAGCCCAGGGCAAGCCCATCTTGGTCTTGCTCTTGAAGAAGAATGTCCTGCACATTCATCTGGGAGGGATCCCTCATGCCCGGCTTTGCTCCCTGGAAATGCACAGGCCAGTCAGGTCCCCACAGGCAGACACGGGATGGGGACGACTTCGTGCTGCGTCCCTTTTCCTATCAAAATACTGCAACTGTGAACGTATGGAGTTAAATGAAATTCATTGCTCAAATTTGTTTCATCTACTTTTTTTTTTTTTCCGAGAGAGAGACAGACAGCATGTGTGGGGGAGGGGCAGAGAGTGGGAGGGAGAGAGACAGAATCCCAAGTAGGCTCTGAGCTGTCCGCACAGAGCCTAATACAGCTCAGAGCCTAATGCGGGGCTCGAACTCACGAAACCCTGAGATCGTGACCTGAACCGAAACCGAGACACAGACGCTTAACCGACTGAGCCACCCAGGCGCCCCGTTGTTTCATTTACTTTTTACTTTTTTCGTGTGATTACTGGAAAACTTTCCATTACATAGGTCACTCCCATTCTTCTTGAACGCGCACTGTTCTAGAGTTTGCTGGCAGAGAGGAGGGATGGCTTCGGTGAGGGCTGCCCTAGGTGGCCAGCTGGCATAAACCACCAGCAGCCCTGAGCAAGGTCCCGGATGTGACCTGCAGCCCTCTTTGGGAGGGAAGGGGTTGGGGGAGGTCTGCTCCCAAAGGCTCAGCGAAGGGCAGGAAAAGACACCCAACTGCAGACATCTGTACACCCACAAAGGCCATTTCCAAGGTCTCCACCCACCCTCTCGTTTCGTCTTCCCTCGCTGCAGACCCGCTCCGAAACACCCACGTCAAGTGCCCAGACCTACCCACGCTGCCTACGCGAAGTGAGAAGCAAGTCGCCATCTTTTTTCAACAGTGAAGACAGAAGTTTGCACTATCTTTCAACTCCAGTTGGGAGTTCTGTGTTTTTGTACCAACTTTTAGAATTTTTTTTTTTTTTTAATGTTTAAAACACCATTATTTTGAGAACTTCGAGCTACTGCCGTCGGTGCTGTGCTGTGCTATGGTGCTCTGTATACTTGCTCAGGTACTTGTAAATTATTAATTTATGCCAAATGCTTGTTACAGTGCAGTGCGCTGTGGGAGGCATTTTTACCATCACTGAGTTTTTTCCACGGAAGGAAGGCTTGTGTGCTTTCAGTAGTTTAGTGAACTTGAAATATCATGCTTTATGGGCTTCTGGACAGGAGGTTCACTTTCCGATCGAGGCTTTATCGAAGAACCGTTCCCCAGCCACGCGTGGCTGTGGTTATGGCACAGACACAGCCCAGGAGACCCCAGGTAGAATGAATGCTGAGTGATTCTCTGGAACCCCTGATCTCGAGCTAGAGCCAAGGGCTTCGAGTCCAGGCTGGGTGTGGCTGTCGGGGAGACCCTGGCCCCGCCCACCAGCGGCTACACCTTGAACTTCCAGGAGAGCAGGGAAGGATCTGGCTTGGGGCCAGGAAGCTTGGAAGAGAACCTGAGTTGCAGGAAGGAATTTTAAGGTGTGGCCGCCCCAGGACAGAGCCTGGAACACAGGAGGCCAGGCAGAAACTTGACCGTGAGCGAGCTCACCAGCCGTGAGCACATTTGGAGAGCAGGCAAAGACGGTGGCTTTGCAGAAACACTGCCCTCCGCACAGTGCTGGCCTCCGCGTCTTATCTAGATGGGGAAAGGTGGCGTTTCTACAAGGAGGCTCCTGCCCAGGCACCACCAACCTGAATCTCTCCCTGTACGGTTTGGCGCTGAGCAAATTACCACCTTGTCTTCTCAACTGTAATACAGTGATTCTGTGTTCAGACGGATGGATGAGGCTTTCCATGGGGCCATAACTATTTTCAGCTGTGAACCAGTAACGAGATCTAGCGAATCAATCCTGTAGATAAAAATCTTTTATTGCAAGGTTCAAACTTATTAAAAATTGGGCAGACTCCGTATGCCTGCAAAAACTACAACCGAATGGATGCCATGAGGCAGCCTGCGTCCGCCGTTCGTCTAGGACAAAGAATCCTAAGTTACTCGTAAGTTATTTAGGGGGGCATTCTATTTTCCCAGCTTGGCCGCAGGAATCTCGAAAAGATATTTTTAGTATAAACACTTGCAACCTACCTGTTGAGCGGCACAGAATGTGATGAGGAAATCAATTTCCTAATCCTAAATATTCATGAAATGCATTCTAGGGCCGCGTCCCCTTTAACCTTTTACTCTTCAAATGTCTGACTGGGGAGCCATTTCTCCACACGATCTTGAAGCTGCCTGCGTCTAATGGCATGAAAATGACAAAAATACTCAGACAAGGTAAAATGCCATTATGCCTCTGTCTTCTAGTGGGGTCATATGTGACTCGTTTTGACACTGGAAGGCAACTGACAACAGTCCTGTAATTCACTCTGAGTGTTTTGTGATGAAGACTTCAACTGGGGTCATTTCAACGGTTTTTCCAGGCCTTGAAGCAGAGAGACCAAATATACCAAGAATCAGTTTGCCTTCCAGAAAACAAGACTGCAGTGAACTCTCCCCGTGTTCCCCCACCGTATCTAGGCAACATGGTAATCACGATCGCGGATAAACTAACTAAAGCCATGTCACAAACACAAAAGGGAGCCCAGCGCTAAAACATTCCAACTCCTACAGCATGCATCTGTATCATACAATTATTAATTTCTGAAAAAGGTAAAGCCATGTTAGAAAATGTTACTGCTGATGAGTACCTACAGAATTACGGTAACTGATATTACACTTAGTAATTGTATCAAGGCCAAACCCGATGCTAGTGAAAAGTTTACAGAATTTTTATGGTGCATTATGTGGGTACTGTCTTTACAGATGCCCAAACCCTTGGATCTGTCATTTTAGCCCCTCCTCCTATGGGAGGAAGAGGGTGTGAATTTTGTTTTTTGGGTTTTGGTTTTTTTTTTTTTTTTTTTTTTTTTTGTCCTTAACTGTAATTCCTGTGCTTCCATTTCAGAGAACCAGGAATAGCCTGGTATTAAAAAAGGTTAACGCTGTGATCTTACACAATGTCATCGATGGCCATTTAGGAGCTGCAGCTGATGACACATTTGTATCTCTATAGTAGTAATTGCTTTTATAGAGCCATACACGTTATTTCTGGATACTTGTTTAAACCTAACATCCCCTTACAATATACAGATATTGTTAAAGGAACAGTATTCCCAAGATGCAGAATTATATTTAGCAATAACTTCCATTTTAATAGAACATAGGAAAAGAGCCAGGTATTTCGGGGATGGGGGAAAGATGAACCCCCCCCCCTTTTTATAGCCTTATAGATGATGGCAACAAAAATCACTATTTCTATTTCAGTGCCAGTCTATTTTTTTAATATGTTTTTAAAGTTTTATAGGCATGAATAAGAGTTGATTTGAGTTTATAAGGCTGTCACTGAGAAATTCAACGTGTCTAGACACGAAGTAGGCCCTGAGGGTGGTCACTTTTCTTCCCCTGTCTCATTATACGTGTAGTTCTCTGACCCCACTTACTGGAAAATAGATGGCTAATCTTCCAGGCATTCTGTTTAAGAGTTTATCTCCTGAGTTTTTTGGTAACAGTTTGTTTTCCTGACACATGGAATCAGATGGGTAGCAACCAAGAGAAACAATGCATAACATTTTCCATTGTCAAAATATGCATACGGAGGTTATACTTCCCAGTGTGAATTTTTCCAGCTTACACATGTGGGATGACGTCACAGAAACCACAAAAGCAACAAATTAAACTACATGAGAATAAATACTCCTGACTGGTCTCCGAGGGGACATTTTTATGCCTTCTTAACTTTAGTATGAGTTCTCAGGCTTGAACCCATAGGCCCTTGTTCTCTGGCAAATCAATACAACACATCAATGCATCCCCTAAAAGAAAAGCAGCTCATGCTCTGATCAGTGACAAGCTGTCCTTAGGAGCCTGTGATCCCCCCTGGTGCTGGGCCAGCTGAGAAGGCCCCGGCCCCCTCCTGCCGTCTCTCCGTTCATGTTTACTAAATTAGCATTCTGAGCCAATGAGACCCTGACAACGGAAAGGACGAGATGCCTGGGCAGGAGGCCGCAGCCTTCTCGTGCAAGCTGACCCCTCCGCACACTTTCCTCGTGAGGCTGATTTCATGTAAAACGTGTGCTGGGGGGGCGGGGCTCCCTCTCCAGTGTTCTGGGAGCAGCCGGCCCAGGGCGGAGATCCCTCCTCACTGCTATCGGTAGGACCCCAGCTAACCACAAGTGACCCAGATAAACGTCATACCGACCCTCCCCAGAAGTCTCACGCAGCCAGCTGCTGACCCTCAGGCGTGATTCTCAAGCTGCAGACTTCATACATTATGGCTGGCGGGCGGGGGACAGTGCAGGTACCATTGTTTCATGGCCCCCCGCCCCCCACCCCACGGAGGCCGGCCCTAGGCTGCCACAGTTCCTCCCCCCACGACTCAGGAGCAGGCCCGTGAACACATCTGGACGCAAGGCAGAGGAGGCTACGCCATCTGTTTGCTTCTCATCACTTAGAGGCAAGCCTCTTTTCCAGAGGACCCTCCAAGGTGACAGATTGCTGTGGTCATAGCTACTTTAGGTCGCCCAAAGCGGGGACCGTGACACTGTGTCACTACCCCCACGAGCTCAGCCTTCTCCAGAGTGTCAGCACGGCACAAGCCCACCAGCTATGCCCCCAGCTCTGAACCCAGCAAGAGTCCCCCTTCCAGGCAACATCGTGCCACAGAACATCCGTCTGTCTAGGATGGCACGATTCCCTGGGCACCCTCTCCAGTCCCTGTTGACATCTGTCCCTTTAAAACCTACTTTGGAACCTCTGATAGCGATACGAGTAACACTCTAAGAAAGAGTGGTAAGCCCCGGGCTAAGAACCAGTTCCGGGCACTGAGGATGCTTCCAGAAGCAATCTACCTCCACGTGGATGAAAATCCCCTCTTTACTCTTGGGACAGCAGCGACAGCAGCCAGTCCAGCCATAAGAGTGTTGCATGTGAGGAAAACCTAGGAGAAGAAACAGTGCGTATAGAATCGCGATAGCAGTCCATCGTGGGCAGTGACAGCCAGGAGATTTACCACACACTGAAAGGAATGCTCAGTGGATTCGGCTCTTTCAGGTTGAATATTCTGGAACCCACCCTGACCTTCCACATCGTCTGCAAAAAAACATGTCTTCTAGGCTCCCCCCCCCCCCCCCCCCCCCCCCCCCCCCC